GGAAGCTGAAGAAGGCTGCAGACTCAACTCAACTTTTTATTTAGTGCCATAATTTACAATAATACATAAAGTTAAAGACATTTTCCTAGTTAAAAGTACAAACTAATTGCGACAGATAAACTGATTAAAGCAATYAGCTTTAAATTTAAAAATTTACATTTTTAGGTCAGGCACTGAAAAAGTAGTAGTAAAATACAAAAAGAGGAGGGGGAAGAAAAAAGRGGGGAAAAGCAAAAGATATGAATAAGAGAGCTCATAAATGGAACACCTAGTGGGCTTTGGGGGGTGGGACTCACCGATAAGTTTTTAACTGACACCCTTGGAATGTGTCCCAATGACAGTCTGACAAATATTATTACYATGCCATCAAAGTTATTACACCAACTGGATAAATATCACACAGTATCATAACAATGACAGCAAATCACTGTASAAGTACTCTACCTCCTAGTCTGGTATTTTCAGGTTTGCCTCTAAATCGTGAAGAATCATATGGTTCATCACAGTACTCTTTGTAAGCATTATAATGAACTGCAAAATAAAGACATAAATAATGTTCATATTTTGGCTTTTTGTATCACAAAGTATTACATCTGTGGACTACGATGCTGTACTCATGAATGTCTTAACAGCTCTTAACAATAGCCTTGAATTTCGCCTGGTATGTCGTTTTACATTGGGTAGCAATATATAGGTGGGTTATTTGTTTTAGCTGATTATTATTTATATTATAAACCTAWTGGAAAATTCAATAAAGCAGAATGTGACAAAACCTATTGTTAAAATGGTTCCAGGCACTTTAACAACACAATGGAAATGTTTATAGAGTAACATTACATTACATACATGTAGCATACAGCGTACAACAAGATAACTTACTTACATCGGACAGAAGCTGTTCTAGGAACAACAGGTCCTACTCCAGGCCTTAGTATTTTCTTAAGTACACCGCGATCACCTATCAGATCTTCCATGTCTTGCCCCATGCTTTCAAATGGAGTCTGAATAAAAATATTGATAAAGATAAATGTACTAACATAGATGTATACATACCGTGTAAAGCATACAAAATAAAAAGGCATTAAATTGCCATTAACAATATTTCGTTGTATTATTAATTAAATAACATTATGCAATGTATCCTTCATTCATCCTTCATCCTTCATTTTTTTACTGTACTGTATCCTTCATATCATTAGCAAAATTCTCTAAATAATTTCTTGATTCTGTATATTCTCTCCTGCACTAACTTGACCACACTGACTGCCCATCCAGATTGGTTGGGTACTGGCCAGCATTTTGAGCAGGACTTCATGGGTTCAACATAAGAATTTAAAACTTCCATCATGATTCTATACAGTTTCCACAATGTACCTTCGAGGTATCAGTCTCATCTTCTTTGTCAACACCAAGAACTTCATGGTTCAACTGTTGAAACATCTCTTCCATATCAAAATATGCATTACGTGGCTCCTCATCGTCATCACTATTATGCCCATGGGGGACTTGAAGGAAAACGGGAAAAATTATAATAGAATCAAATGTTTGTTTAACATAGATCAATAGATCAGCCTTATTAGCAGTGTTCTCTTAAATATCATTCTTGGAAGTGTAGTACAATATCTAATTATTGAAATCTTATTAACATATCATAACATCACTATCTTATAATAGGCCTTCTAACCAAACAGATTATACACCTGAAAAAATATGATATTGTGTATAATACTGGCTGAAGCAGCTCAACAAGGGTTGAACTGAAAACATGTGGAAAACAGATATTTTAGGGGCTAAGTATCCCATGGGTGGATTCAGGGGGTGTACCCCCTTTATCGATCTATTATGCTTTTTTGAAGTGATGCATAAAATCYCTAYATTTCTTCATTSAGGWCACCCCCCTAACAAATTCCTGCTGGATCTGCCCCTGTATCCCATGTACCTATCAGCAGTTTGGCTCTCAATAGGAGTTGATATGTGTTAAGWTGCAAGGAGCAYTGATGGGTTGCAAGCATTCCCAAGAGAGTTAAAAGACAAAAACATGGCAGCCACYGTGGTAMCATTAACAATGGATGCTAATGAGAAATATTTTGTTAAATGGTAMCAACATGGCYGCGATSACGTAACGTGCAAACGAAGAATTGGCTATGTTATATCTCATAAACGACTTAGAGGAACAAAATCAACAGGCCCWAATGATATTACCCAAGCTTCATCCCCTAACTATACCCCCCTCCCATCCTGATGACAACTKCAATTATTCTTAGACTTATTTTTCACTGCTTCTACAGTTAACAAAGCTTACACTGTTGATCGAGATCGACCTCAAACGTAGCACCGCCACCGGACCTCAGTTCTTGAATATCAACACCATCTTTGAGTCCCGTTGCATAGCGATTAGGAACCTGTACAAAACACAGTATTGAGTATTACTTCACTCTTTCAATAATCGAGCCTAAACTTAATACTCGACAAAGGAAAACTYGATTAAAGGAAAGACAATACCAATGACTCTTATTTGTCGACAGAGTGAGTTTCAGTGGTTTTAGCGAGCCAAATATTACAATAAATCATGCCTACAAGAAAGATTCGTTGCACACAGAACAAACAGAATAGAAGCAGTTTGTTGGAGGAACTTTTCTCTTTTTTTTTTTTTTGTATAATTATGTATAATTTTTAGAAATTTGACTTACGTATTCATTCTCTCCGGATAGGATAAGGCTTTCATAAGCAGCTAGAGGTTCAGGTTCTTGCATTTTGTTGGGAAAACTAAGCTTTTTTTACGTGCACAGCGTTAAACTATAACAAAACAAACAAACTCCACGTGAAGTAATTTGTGAAGTAACAGAACGATGAGGAGGACTGGGATCAAGTCCATAATGCATGACGGGTAGGCACCTGAGGAGGGGTGTAGGGGGATGTTTCAGAACGGGAGGGGGGGGGGGGAAAGGGCGAAATAATCAAACTAATTCATTACTAAACAAATAAATCAAAAGCGTACATAACTCTTGATACAATATCATCAGTGTTAACTTTAACACGGTATTTAACACACACACACACAAAAAAAGGATTTACAATACAATTATACAATAAACACTGGCRCAAATTCGAAATTAAATTTCAAATCAACTTCTCTTCACTAACTGTTTCCTTTTTTGGCGAGTGTCAGGGTTATCTGGGATTAGGGTACCCGCACTAGTACTGCTCACTGCCTTCTTGCCTTCCCTCTCTACAATTCTGTATATCGATCAAGAAGAAGAAGAAGAAGAAGAAGAAGAAGAGGAGGAGGAGGAGGAGGACAACGACGATTACGACGACGAAAAAAGGAAGGGGGATAATATTTCAATACCATTTTAGAAAAATTTTAAAAGCATTGCGAACATTTCCGTATAGTCTTTAAATATTCGTAACCAATATAAGACTCTTGGAGCGAAACCAAACGTAAAGTAAATAAGGAAAAATAAGTCAAGTACATCAGTAGTGCACAGTATCATGCAATGTCAAGTCATTAACGAAATAAAGGCAGTGGTGCATGGCAACGCACTGATCAACACGAGCACCTTTTCTTTTTATTTTATTCTTTTTTTTTTTTTTTTTTTTTTTTTCGTTCAATGTCCTTTATCACACTCTACTGATTTGCAAAGTTAAGCGAGACCAATTTTTTGCGGATCAAAAAAGTGCGTTAAAAGCTTAGGCGGACAAAAAATATAGGAGACGTCCAAATTTGGTTGATGTCCGCAAAAAAGAGCTCGTTTTGAACAAGTTTTATCTTTGAGCATAATTTCAAGTCTAATTTGTTCAATGCATGTTTGTATTATTGATTCTAATCTTTGCAATGGCTAGCTAGCTCTAACTTTGGATCAATATTATCATCATTCTTTAGGAATATGGCGTGGAACGCTAAAAAGAAACTAAGAAGAGCTTCTGCCTTGCTTGACTGCGCAATCTTCCATTTGCGTCGATAGCTAGMGCCGATGCATGAAATTCAGCGAAAACGTGCCGTGATTCTGATTTAACGTTGATCCTCAATCACACGATCCTAGTCTWATGATGAAAACACGATCAAATATCTTCAATGGTTAAAATTTAAGTTGTACGCTTGACATAGATAGTGAAGCAATATATGGCAGGGATGTTTCAAGATGACGTAGATAGTTCTGTTCTAAAAATGGACTGTTTTTACTTGTAAGGTATAAAAAGGGAGCGAGATGTTCAAACTCAAGCACTTGTTAGCTACCAGAAAAAAGAAGAAGAAGAAGAAGAATACTATACTGATCTCGTTGACCAAGGTTTAACTCCTTTTTCAATTACCGATTTCATTTTTTGACAATTTTAAACTATAATTTCCGCACATATTTTCCACAGATGTTCTTCAAATCCAATCCCGTTTTGGTGATTTTCGTCATTTTATTTTCCATCTTCAACATTGCTCATACAGCCTCGCTGGAGAATGAAGATTACATGGAAGACGACGTTAATAAAATACAAGATGCAGTGGAAAGTCCAGCAGTGTAAGTGATGAATTCGTAAAGTCCCGTAGTGTGTACGTTTATGCAGATGGGTGTTATATATGTATGGATGTATCACTATTAATAGCCTTTTTTCATTGTCCGACATTTTCCTTCTGATTCTGTCCTTTTTTAAATTTCCTTTTCGAGTTCTYTCCCTCCTGTTATTCTTGTATGACATCCACTTTTGTTTCTAGGAACACCACACRATCGAGTGACGAAGGCGGGGACAAGAGAGCTATCCGCATTCCTTGCTACTGTTGGATTGGCTGGGTTAAAGAGGAGAACTTGAAGTACAAAAACTTCGGCTGTGTTCGTAAATTCAAGTTGCTCGAAACGAGAAAGCAAAGCAAATGTTCTGCCTCGTGCTCCAAGACGTGTGCTCGTAAGTACTCCTGTCTTTTTAAGAAGATGAGATCAACTATATGTAGCCAAAGCCATAGGGGGGGGGAGGACTATGATTGGAAAAGAGCGGATACTCGTCATACCTTTTGCTGGGTTGCCTGTGGCAAACCAGTCTTAAAATACGTCTCTTTTTTTCCCCTCCTCGACAAAATGGAAAAGTTGCGCAATATCACCCATATATGGATTGTTAATATATGCCGACTAAAGGGCTTTGCTGAGATATACCATTAACGTAAGTTAATGTTATACAAAAAATTCCTGAAGTCGCACTGCGATTTAAAGCATGTTTGTTTACCAACGTTTTTGGTCTTGTGTCCTTATTATTCTTCTCACAGCTTATCTCAAACCGAATTACTTTAACTACTTGTGTGGTAAGATCGGTAAACAATACAACTACAAGGAGCTCAAGGTGGGGTGTTTCAGCAAGGTTGGCAGAAATGATGTGTTCAGCAATCTATGGGACTTTGACGGTTCTCCACACGACCTCTGCTGCAAGAAAGCCATGAAATCCTGTAGTTCGGTGTTTGGTGCTAGATTTTACTACCACAAAGGCATGAAGCTGTGTGTCAAATACCTTTCACTAGGTAATCAAAAGCATTAGTTTTAATCAGATAAATTGAACGCCATCAACTTAAGGGCGCTCGGGGGTGTTCGTTACTACGCAACGCTTTTTACACCCAGGGGAGGCCTTGGAACTGKCGTAAGTCGACCCCTTTAGACCACTTTCTACCTTTAGACTTTGGACTTCTTTGATAAGCAAATGACTACATAACATGGCATTTTAACGAGCGAACGTGGACCTTACTATTGCACTCCTTGGCGGGAAATTATCACRTGTTTTAAGTTGTTCATACATATTTTTTAGCTACAAAATCAACTCGCTTTTATTCATTTTTCAACAGGTCCTATTCCTGGCTTTCCGAATGGCACATTAAAGCCTCCATTCTGTTTGTATTGGAACAAATTGTACGCTTGCCAGCCGCCCAAAAGTTACGTAAAATCTGTGCCTTGCTGGTGAAGAATGTTTTTTTCTTGCACTATTAATACGGTTTTATATACCTTAAGCAATAATCCATCTTTTTTAGCTATACACTCCACTGCACAGTCAAAGAAACCTAGCCTAGTTAGCATAGAGACAACATGTTTACTGTATGAGCATACTCTCTAAACGCCTACACCTTTGAAATCACGATTTCAATGTAAAAACTGACTCAGGTACTCATAATACATTAAAGCGAGGTTGCCATGGTTATAGTTCATCACAGCACGGGCTTTTTGTATTGAGACTTTGACAGTGCGTCTCAATAGCACGTGCATGTGCGGAATCGTATCGTGATCAGTGGAAGTCAGTCAAAGTGTTTCATAACATTGTCGGAAAACACTCAAATATCAYGGGGCACGTGCCTATGTAATGCCATGGAAACGCTTTGATTGACACCCACCAAAACCTTCTTCGCGACGATGACCATTTGGTCGGGTGGTGGTACTGGGAAGCACTGTACTAATGTAAGGCTACTGAGAAAGAATAATAACCATTTAGCTTTTCAGTGGATCTCATAATGACCAATTGTTTTTTGTTAGTGCAAGGTATGATCAGTTTTACATTGTATTTGACTTACTAGCCTCACTTGTATGACGTTAGGCAAATAAAAAATATCGACTTYGGGCTCAACTGCATGTGATAACATCTGTTGATGGCAAGAATCAAGACTGACTGAAGTTATGCAGTTTGTCTTGTAGTTAAGGAAGTCTATCTAAATCATTTTTATCAATAAACTAAGATTAAAAGGATGCAGTTTGTGCAAGAGAAAATGAACTAAGAGAAGGAATCCCCGTGCCCGATCATGTGCACTGTTTGATGCTATTTTTAGAATCATTGATGCTATTTTTAGAATCATTGATGCTATTTTTAACTCGTTACCATACCCGCGCGATAATTATACTTCCTTTTAATGCCTCGTTTTTGAACACGAAAAGCACCATATTTCGTTACGTCCACGACAAAAACACAGACTTTGTTTACTGCAAGAGTGGAAGCCGTCTACCCTCAAGAAATCAACCAATCAGGTTSTTCGCTCAAAATATCTCCAAGCTAAAAATAGCATCAAACTGTGCACATGATGGTTACAAGGCTATATAGGCAGGATTCCTTCTCTTAGTTCATATTCTCTTGGTTTGTGAGTAGTGTTTTACCTTTCAAAGTGATCACAATGAGATTATGTTTGATGGATCAAAAAAATAGCAGATATAAGAGTCACAATCTCTATTGCCTTCGAGTAATTAGAGAGTTTTAGATTGACTTTTTTTCTCCCCGCAAACGGCAAACGTGACCACGTTTTCATAGTTTTCCTTTATTTTACTTTACCTTTTACAAACCTTYTCACCAAGCGCAAATACTTTTTTGTTTTTCTACTACTTGGACGTTTTTGCGATTCTTTTTCAGTAATTTAAAAGAATTTTTTACTGGTCAACTGACGTTTCACGTTTGCCGTGAACGTAAATSTAAAACTCTCTATTGTTTCAAGTCAAGGCAGTTGGGTCRATACRATGAAATGTATAGAAACTGACCCAAATGAGACAATTGCTGGATATCTTTTGTTACATTATAAAAGTTTTTAAATTTATAATYTCAAGGTTTATGTATAAAAGTGGTCATATAATTTTGATTGGCGCGATACATATATTACGAGTTCAAACCCGTCTTCATCCGGGGGAAGGTTTGCTACACCATTCTGATGGCGACTATAGTCAAGTGGTTTGGAAGGGACACGTTTTCCCCTGTGCATTTTACCAATTTAATGACTCCATTTGCATTGYAGTGCCATACCTCCGAGACCACCTAATCAGAAACCGAGGCGTCGTATGAGCTTTCGAATGCATCTGAGTGTACGGACTAAAAATAAGTTGAAATATCACGACTACAWGTACTAACGTTTAATCTACCGGTTTATTTCATCAATTACGTTTCATATTTTTAGTAGTGTTCTCCTTTAAGCATGGGTTTTTGACAAGAGTAGATGTTCCCGTCGTGACAACAGACTGGAGGGCTGTTGTCACCAGGTTTTATTCCAGAGATGCAACTTGGATCTGTTGAGGAAATGATGCAAATGATTCATTTCGTTACTAAACGTCTGAAATATGCGAGAAAAATACAGGAGCAGGAGGAAAAGGCGAGGATAAGAACAAGGACGAGGATGAGGCTGAAGACNAAAACAAGAACAAAAACAAAAACAAACAAAAAAATCAAAACAAAACAAAAACGAACAAACAAACAAAAAAACAACAAACAAACAAACAAAAACAAAAAACACACCATCCACAGCGGTATACGACAGCACCTGCCCCGCCGAAAGTAATCCAGAGTGTTGTTGGAATTGATTCCACTTGTAGTTTTATAACCTACCGAAATTAAATGGTGTAGTCTCTGTTATCCCTCGATGGACATTAGTAAACATTGTTTCAGTGGACAGGATTTTATCCCTTTGCTTTGGGGTTGGTCCAGGTCCTACTTCATAACAGAAACCACTTGGATAGGACTCATTGCAGCTGGATATACCTTATAAATGAAAAAATGTTGGTCAGGAGATGGACAAGGACAAGGACAAGGACAAGGACAAGGACAAGGACAAGGACAAGGACAAGGACAAGGACAAGGACACACGCTTTATTATTACCGTTTTTAATCAGTGTCCTCACACATAATCCCAGTGCTTCGTGATACTTATAATCATCACCAAACATAGAACCACAGTGTCTTGGCCTTACTCTACACCTAATGCTCGGCAGCTCATACAAAGGTTTCCAAATGTCTTGGTTTGATTCGTTTAATGMCAGCTGGCTAAAACAGCCCAGTTGAGGAGGTTCTTTGCCGGTTGAATTGAACTCTTTTTCCAAAAAAATGCACAACGCATCCTGTACATATTTTATCTTTGAAGAAGAACGAACGAATCCTGTGGGAGGGAAAAAGCGTTTAAAGGTTTTTTTCGCGTTTGTGGGATCGATAAAGTTAAACAAAGGCTTCGGTTGTATGGAAGTATACTAAAAGAAGATTAATATCAGTCATAAAACCATATTCAAATTTGAAACAACACGACAATAAATCATTGTTGCAGCATATTATCATGTGCGCTGGGCTTGTTTTATCCGCATTTCAATCMCATCAAATGCGCAATTATGACGCCATCCTTGAAATTAAGAAATTGACATAATGTTTTAATTTTGTCGTCTTATATTGACGATAAATTGCGTCATCACATTGTCAAAGCAGTGGATACGCATACTACTTGGACAATGTGATGACGAAATTTATCGTCAATAAGAAGACAGACACATAAAAATTATAAAGCTTTTGTCAATTTGTTAATTTTAAAACGATAAAAACTTYTCATTTTTAGTGTTCAAAACAACCAACGGAAAGAGCGCGCGCTCRTTGACGTCAGCTTTATCTGTCTGTCCTCTTATTGATGATAAAAAATAATCAATCAGCGCACGAGAAATTTGTAAGTTAATGTAAAATAAAAAATCGAAGTCAGTTTTTTATGGGTCTGTACTGTAATCGAATTAACATGAAATGACGTCAAAAATGATCCAACCTCAAGTGGAWCCACAAGCRCAGCGAGTATTTTCACTGCAAAGTGAAATTTCCAAGTTATGGTAAACTTACACCACTCATATCCCTCCATGGTTCTTCTACAGAAAACAGCAAGACAACATGCGCAGCCTATTWGCAAGTGCTCTGGGCTACAAACTTATYCGCATTTCAATCMCATGATGCACAATCGTGACGACATGCTTGTAAAATACTCCTTTGCCGCTCTGTTTATAAGGCTACCGCATGGAGTAGGAGTCGGATACCGTACCTTGTGAGGGCGGGTTGCAGGAGGGAKAAAGATTACCAATGCAGTTTTATTATAGAGAAGGAAATAAAAAATACTTTCTGGTACGGTGCGGATGAGCTGACGTGGGAGGAGAAAGTGAGGGGTAAAAATAGTTCCAAACTTACTTTTACATTGGTTTTGGCATTTCTTTTGACAGCGTTTAATGGAGTCTAAGTTCATATTGTGCTGTATACCAATATTACCAAAATAATACAATATTTTGGTTTTATCGTACTTTTTCCCCACCCAGCATCGGCATCTCTTTCTCCAAGAAGTTTTATCAGAAAGTTCACCAGATCTGAAAGAGAATTAAGATGACTCGATTGTGAACATCAACGTAATCACCACCACCACCACCACCAAAACCATCATTATCACAACGACGATGAAAAGCAACAGTACAATTCCGTAACGTAAGAGGCAAGAAAAAATTTAGTTTCTAAAATTTACTTACGTTCCTGAGCTCTGAGACCACTCTTCTTCATCATCGACGTCTTCGTTTTCATCTATATCTTCATTAGTGAAATAAACRTCCTGCTGTTCTGACAGATCGAGATCCTCCAGGTCTAGCACCCCTTCGTCTGTCGTACTTCCCAAAACAATGGACCACGAAACAAAGTAAACTACTACACTTGCCACCAAGAAAAAATTGGAATTGAACATCTGAAAAATGTACCCTAGATATTTAGTTCAAAATATCTTGACGTCGTAAAGCACACACAAAATTGAGGCTATCCCTGAGATCAAACTCTGTGGCGTGCGGATGGAAGATCTGGAACTGTTGTTAGATAAGACTGATAAAAAACTCTCCCAAAAATATTTCATATCATAACACGTGCAGTGGTATTTTGATTTTAGCTTTTGATTGCTTTTTTGTTTTTGCTATTACAAATTGAAACATTTCGAACGAACTTCAGAAATACTAAGTAAATATATATAGAATTGAATTCTTAAACTTTACCTTTCATGAAAGAAACAATGTGGTTGATTCTTCAGATTACTTCTCAGCTCAAATAGATTCCTCCCTGACTAACCGTTCTCGTTCTGAGTTATTTTGTAATCAATCCTGCGAAGGGATGACAAACCACACGATCATCTATTTAGGAGGCGCTCTGCTATTGGACAAAACCATACTATCGACTTCATAAATTTTTAATTCATGATTGAAACGGTTTTTTGCAYAAGTTTTTTATGACGTGATTCATGGTTCCGAATACCCTCGCCTTAGTTAATCTAAAACTTTTATTGTTGAAAATTGATTTAAATTGTTTAAATGGATTACTGTACCTCTTAATCCTTGTAGAACTCTTTAAGATACTGAGCAGTTGATCGTGGGACTGAAATGGTTTTTACATGTGATTGCATTGGGAAAACTRCTGCAACGGTGATTAGTTTGCTATTGTCCGAGTCTGAACCATGAATGACAGTCGGTACAAGCAGGTTATATTATACGTGGTTGTACGTACGTGGTAAGCCAGTACATACGTTCTAATAGCTAACTGGGGCACATGTCTGAGATTGTTGGCGACGATAACAAGTATTATAGTATGATAGATAGTCAAGTATACAATGATCACTGAAGAATGAATGATAGATAGTAAACTTGGAAATTGCATGTAGGGTGGGTTAGGTTCGTGTGTAATGACCAAAGTACTAGTTAGAAACTTTCAAAAGTTGGCCAACAAAACCTCTAATTTCACATTTTACTTACAGGTGTGTATCGGCCTCTTGTACTTATCAGTGATACGTTCAGAGTAATTGAACAACTAGACAACCACCAACAAAAAAATCTTCAAAATAATAGTGATTTTTTTGCTTCCCTGAGTATTTCTTTGACTTCCCGTGATRGAAACTAACAGGTGACCGTCAAAGTACTCGACCAAGCGCCTCGTCTAGTAGTTCGAGTACCAAAAAATATTGACTTTTACCAACTTGCCATGAGGTCTACTAGCTGACTAGTTTTTGTTATATGTTTTTAATCTAATTCCTGTTATGCATCGGTCAATTCAAAGAAGAAAAAAAAAAGAAAAAAAACTAGTTTTTGTTATATGTTTTTAATCTAATTCCTGTTATG